CTTAACTTTCTGCTTCTGAATGCAGACAAAACAGAAGTTATAGTCTTTGGACCAGAGTCTCTGAAAAAGAAACTGATTAGCCAGTCACTTCATTTGGATGGGATTAAACTGATTTCAGATAATAAAGTAAAAAATCTTGGTGTTGTTTTTGATCAGGACCTGTCATTTAAATCCCACATCAAAGAGGTTTCTAGAATTTCCTTCTTTCATCTGAGGAACATTGCAAAAATTAGAAATATCCTGTCCAGGGGTGATGCTGAGAAACTAGTCCATGCATTTGTTACTTCAAGGCTGGACTATTGTAATTCTTTACTATCAGGAAGTCCACAAACTGTAGTTAAAAGCCTTCAGCTGATCCAAAATGCTGCAGCCAGAGTTCTAATGAAAATTAAAAAGAGAGATCATATCTCGCCTATCCTGGCTTCTCTTCATTGGCTTCCTGTTAAATCAAGAATAGAATTTAAAATCCTCCTTCTCACATATAAAGCCTTAAATGGCCAAGCTCCATCTTATATCAGAGATCTGATTGTTCCTTATGTTCCTAACAGAGCACTTCGCTCTCAATCTGCAGGTTTACTAGTGGTTCCTAGAATTTCTAAAAGTAGAATGGGAGGCAGATCTTTTAGTTATCAGGCTCCTCTCCTGTGGAACCAACTACCAGTTTTAGTCCGTGAGGCAGACACCCTGTCTACTTTTAAGTCTAGGCTTAAAACTTTCATTTTTGATAAAGCTTATAGTTAGGGTGGCTCAGGTTATCCTGAGCTATCTCTATAGTTATGCTGCTATAGGCTTAGACTTTTGGAGGACATAGGGACCCCCATTTCATCATTCTGCTTCATTCTCTCTCTGTTCTCCTATTCTGCAGAATCTGTTAGTTCAATCTCTAACCTTCTGCTCTCTCTGCTTTTCCTCAGAGTAGCTTTGCCTCGTCTGTTCCTGTTTGGCTGTGACGTCATCCTGGAAAAAAATATCAGCTGTGCTGCTTCTATCAACACCCTTGTTAATAGATGTTGGAGATCGGCCTGTTTTCCAGTGTGGTCCTGTTTCTCTGACCGTGACTGAGTGGATGTGCTCTCTTCGTCCTCTGGCATGGGAGCTGCCTCGGAGCTCGTCTGCCTGGCTGTGTGTTTCCTGGACGGGGCCGCCTTTTACAGCTGCTTTTTGTATCTCTGCTTCTGTCTCCTTGAACCCCAGTCGGCCTCGGCAGATGGCCGCTCACACTGAGCCTGGTTCTGCTGGAGGTTTCTTCCTGTTAAAAGGGAGTTTTTCCTCTCCACTGTCGCTACAAGCATGCTTAGTTTGGGGGATTGTATTTGAGTCAATGAGTCAATGCAATCAACTGGTTTTCCTTAGATAGAAAACTTTGTATCAATTTGATCTGGTTGAACTGTAAAGTGCCTTGAGATGACATGTGTTGTGAATTTGGCGCTATATAAATAAACTGAATTGAATTGAATTAAGTTAGCCCAGCTAGTTATGTCCTACCTGGGCTAAACACAGAGATGAGCTCTTGAGTGACACGCGTCGGCCCGTACCTTGCCTTTGACTCCCTAAACCAAACTTTTTTGGTTATTGCACTGAGTTAGGGGGACGTCATCGTGACACTAGTCCTGCACCTAACCACATGACCTGCTGAGGACGACCTCTGACCTCCACCAGAGACGGAAGCTGCTAGTATGACCAGTGTTTGCAGTAACATCATTATTGGTTAGTCTAAGACCAGATTCACAGCAAAACAAAGTCACAGAAAGCAGATCTGCTGTCAGGGAAACAAAGCTGACCGGACTGGTTTCCAGCGTCTCTTTACTGGTGGGAATGGGAGCGTGGTGGGAGAACAGCAGAGAGGAAAAAGCTGCAGCGAGGCGTGGAAACCTCAGCCATGGATTTCAGGGGACCATAATGTGTGACGGAGCTGTCAGCAGTGCAGCAGTGAACCCACCCACTGTGACGAGGTGTGGACTAAGATGAGGGGCTGCAGAGGAAGAGGATGACTGGGAGGCGCTGATGTGACTGTTTTTCATGAATCTTCCAACAGGGAGGAGTGAAAGTAACCAGAAATATCTGCAAACAAACACACATCCCGGCTCTGACTCAATCTGGGTCACCAGGCTTTCAATCTGCTCCTTCCTCAGCTGCCCTCACACACACACACCTCGCCCCGCACCATCTGTCCTCCACCACCCTGCCCATTAAATCCACCCTCCCCCACAGCAGCAGAGCTACCATGCTAACACAAACTGGTGAAAGGTTCTACTAATGTCTGCTCCCCATCTTCCCTTCCAGCTTTAGATCAGACACCAGTACTGGCTTCACTGGGTGGACTGGGTTTAAACAACCAAAGCTGATTAACTGCAGTGAGTCCAGCTTTCTGCCTGCAGGGATCTAGCTCTGGTTTAGGGACAGGAAGGGAGTTCTGATCCGTCATCCTCAGGGAGCTGCTGCCACAGAGTCAGAGATTTATGAATCAGCAATGCTTTCACTGTAGAGTCTGCTGATAGGGAATGCTCTGTGTCCGAATAGATACAGTCCTACATCTCATGACGATGGCCGTCTGTTTAATGATAGTCCTGACAGGATGACACCCTCAGTCCTTCTGGTTTTAATGAGTGCAGACAGCAAAGCCAGGTTCTCATCAGTACGTTACATAACCAGTGACATCGTCTGTTTGAAAAATCTGCTGAAAAATCAAACTGTACTGGAAAAATCTAATTCTCTCATCATAAGGTTTAAACTTTCAAAAACTGCATTATATTTATCTACCCCATGATTAAAGCAGCAATCCACAGATCTGACCAGTGATGACAAGTTTAGCTGCATGTAATCATTGAAGTGCTTAAGTCTCCACCACCCTAAAGTCCTCTGATCACGGCTACCGTCACACATTAAGTTAGCGCCATAAAGGTTCTAGAGTTAATGAACATAGACAGGTGTGGATTATTAAACAATCAATATCAATATAATGACACTGAGGGCCAAAGATAAGCTGATGACAGCTGGTCCTCAGGAAGCCGGCCTCCTCCATCTCAGACAGAGCTGCCAAGTCACCAGTCAGCCAAAGGAAACAGATCGATGAGATTGCTCCACATATTAGCAAACTGATATTTACTCTATGTAAACATCACAGCTTCTAGACCGGGGGTGGGGGTGGGGAAACTCTGTTTCCATGGTTAATACACCTTCTTCTTTGTGAACATCAATTATGTTGTTAATAAAAGTCCTTTCTCTAAAATGCCATCAGAACGCTGATAATATTAAGTGTGTCTCAGCCCCCCCCCCTTCAGTGTCCACCATATTGGATCAGTCCATTTGCTGCACATGTTTAGAAAGGTCCAGACAGACAGCAGCAAACCATTTGAAAACAAATGATCTAGAAAAGCACATTAACTAATAATATAATAAAATCAGACTCCCAAATGAACTGTCCTTGGTGCTGAAATCACATGTTGTTCCACAGGAGCTAACAAAACACCATTAGTTTGTGGTGTAGGAGAACAAAGGAGCGTGGCGGAGGAGTCTTCTGACATTGGTGAATATTTATCACCTTTACTTGCTGCTTTTCACTTTCAGTTCAAAGCTTCTGCTTCTATTGAGAGAAGAACATGAGGCCAACGGATAAGATGAACATGAACCCATGAAGAAACTAACCCTGTGGACGTTTAACATGCGGATACCTTACAGGTTTCTCTTTGGTTCCCTATCCCGTTTACAGCCACACGCTGTGAAGCTTGTGACATCATCGCCCGTGTGATCTTCCCTCAGCTAACCGCCATAGATTCTCTATGACCTTCAGCAGGTCCGCATCATCTGACCTCTTTCTACCCATTCCTGCCTTCCTGCTAGCTGCAGACAGACGGTCCTGAAGCAGGAGGGAGGAGCTCTCCTCCAAATGATGCACTTTGTTCGGATGATTCAGGCGAGGTAATTAGGAGAGAGGCAGCAGGCGCCTCCTCCTCCTCCTCACTTGTGTCTCTACAAGATCAAAGCCACTCTGGCCCACTTGTTGGTTGGCCGTTTGGCTCTCCTCTCTCTTTGGCCTGGAGTTGTTGAGCAGCATCGCTCTTTAATCAGCTTGGCATCTGGGGAGGATTCTGCCCCCCAGATATCATGCAAATGAGGGCGGCTGTCTTTGTTGGTGGCTTCCTGCATGCTGGTGGTCTGCCGCTGGATGCTGCATCGTTACGTAAGCAGCTTGAAACTTCCTGCACTCTCAGCAGACTGAGTGGATTCCTGCGAGCAGCTCCATGTTTGGGCGGGTTTCCGCTTGGATGGGGCTGGAAACAGATCCTCCTGCCGTATGTGGGCCGTGTCGATTCGGGTCACTGAACGTTTGCCTGGAGTCTTGGAGGCTGGTGTCTGTGGCTTCTGGAAATGAATCCATGGCTGGTACATCATCAGCTCATGCAGACGGTCAGAGCGTTAGCTGCCAGCTGCTGTTACCATGGAGATAGCATCAGAGACGCCTCCTTTCAGGCCAAAAACATAGCTTTATCTCTGCAGGCCGACGAGCAGAGCTTCAAACAGGTCTGGCCAGTAGAGGAGACGCTGAACATCAATGCTTCCATTTATCAGAAACACTTAGAAAAGCAGCCAGTCAAGCCCTTCCTTTCCTGACTGACCTTTGACCCCCAGCGCTGGTCCTGATGCATCCCTGTCCTCCTCCATCCCTGTCCTCCTCCATCCCTGTCCTCCTCCATCCCTGTCCTCCTCCATCCCTGTCCTCCTCCATCCCTATCCTCCTCCATCCCTATCCTCCTCCATCCCTGTCCTCCTCCATCCCTGTCCTCCTCCATCCCTATCCTCCTCCATCCCTGTCCTCCTCCATCCCTATCCTCCTCCATCCCTATCCTCCTCCATCCCTGTCCTCCTCCATCCCTATCCTCCTCCATCCCTATCCTCCTCCATCCCTATCCTCCTCCATCCCTGTCCTCCTCCATCCCTGTCCTCCTCCATCCCTGTCCTCCTCCATCCCTATCCTCCTCCATCCCTGTGCTCCTCCATCCCTATCCTCCTCCATCCCTGTCCTCCTCCATCCCTATCCTCCTCCATCCCTGTCCTCCTCCATCCCTATCCTCCTCCATCCCTGTCCTCCTCCATCCCTGTCCTCCTTCCTCCCTGTCCTCTGGTTTTCTGTCCTCAGTCTGTGTTTGACCTCCATGTCCAAATGAATCGGTGAATCCTGGTGGCGTTCCTTTTGCCTCTGATTCCAGAAGTGTCCTAAACAGGCCAACAATAGGAGTTATTAAATCCTGGCTCTGCTGGCTGATATAGGATCCATCTTTATTCATGCAGCGCTCATTTCCTTAGCGCCTCCATGCTAATGCCGAGCAGAGCGGCTCCCGATAAGGAGAGGAACATTGTCTGACATCAGCTTCCGCCATTTTGCAGGAATAAAGATGTGCTGCCTTTGATTTGCTCGACAAAGAGCCGCTGTGATTAGATGCCACTCAGCTCCGCCGCACAGTGGCACCGCTACGTCTGAAGCTGTCTAGATAAACGAATCAATGAGCAGGAGCCTCAGAGGTGCACCCTCCTCCTCCTCCTGCTGCTCCTCCTCATTTAAAGCAATCTCCACTTAACCTCCAACCTCCTGGAAAAATATGGCTCACACCTGCTGAACGTCTTCTTCACACCTGTAGTCCATCTCCATGGAGACCAAGGATTGAAGGAGCTTCGTCTAATGTGAGAGGCTGCTGAGAGTGGGCGGAGCTTCTCCTCCTGGATCCACCTCTCAGATAAGAACTGAACCAGTACCAGTCTGGATACACCCCTCAGATAAGAACTGAACCAGTACCAGTCTGGATACACCCCTCAGATAAGAACTGAACCAGTACCAGTCTGGATCCACCCCTCAGATAAGAACTGAACCAGTACCAGTCTGGATCTACCTCTCAGATAAGAACTGAACCAGTACCAGTCTGGATACACCCCTCAGATAAGAACTGAACCAGTACCAGTCTGGATCCACCCCTCAGATAAGAACTGAACCAGTACCAGTCTGGATACACCCCTCAGATAAGAACTGAACCAGTACCAGTCTGGATCTACCTCTCAGATAAGAACTGAACCAGTACCAGTCTGGATACACCCCTCAGATAAGAACTGAACCAGTACCAGTCTGGATACACCCCTCAGATAAGAACTGAACCAGTACCAGTCTGGATCTACCTCTCAGATAAGAACTGAACCAGTACCAGTCTGGATACACCCCTCAGATAAGAACTGAACCAGTACCAGTCTGGATCCACCTCTCAGATAAGAACTGAACCAGTACCAGTCTGGATCTACCTCTCAGATAAGAACTGAACCAGTACCAGTCTGGATACACCCCTCAGATAAGAACTGAACCAGTACCAGTCTGGATACACCCCTCAGATAAGAACTGAACCAGTACCAGTCTGGATCAACCTCTCTGATAAGAACTGAACCAGTACCAGTCTGGATACACCCCTCAGATAAGAACTGAACCAGTACCAGTCTGGATCCACCTCTCAGATAAGAACTGAACCAGTACCAGTCTGGATCTACCTCTCAGATAAGAACTGAACCAGTACCAGTCTGGATACACCCCTCAGATAAGAACTGAACCAGTACCAGTCTGGATACACCCCTCAGATAAGAACTGAACCAGTACCAGTCTGGATACACCCCTCAGATAAGAACTGAACCAGTACCAGTCTGGATCTACCTCTCAGATAAGAACTGAACCAGTACCAGTCTGGATACACCCCTCAGATAAGAACTGAACCAGTACCAGTCTGGATACACCCCTCAGATAAGAACTGAACCAGTACCAGTCTGGATACACCCCTCAGATAAGAACTGAACCAGTACCAGTCTGGATACACCCCTCAGATAAGAACTGAACCAGTACCAGTCTGGATCTACCTCTCAGATAAGAACTGAACCAGTACCACTCTGGATCCACCCCTCAGATAAGAACTGAACCAGTACCAGTCTGGATCCACCCCTGAGATAAGAACTGAACCAGTACCAGTCTGGATCCACCCCTCAGATAAGAACTGAACCAGTAGCAGTCTGGATCTACCTCTCAGATAAGAACTGAACCAGTACCAGTCTGGATCCACCCCTGAGATAAGAACTGAACCAGTACCAGTCTGGATACACCCCTCAGATAAGAACTGAACCAGTACCAGTCTGGATCCACCCCTGAGATAAGAACTGAACCAGTACCAGTCTGGATTCACCCCTCAGATAAGAACTGAACCAGTACCAGTCTGGATCCACCCCTGAGATAAGAACTGAACCAGTACCAGTCTGGATCCACCCCTGAGATAAGAACTGAACCAGTACCAGTCTGGATCCACCCCTCAGATAAGAACTGAACCAGTACCAGTCTGGATCTACCTCTCAGATAAGAACTGAACCAGTACCAGTCTGGATCCACCCCTGAGATAAGAACTGAACCAGTACCAGTCTGGATACACCCCTGAGATAAGAACTGAACCAGTACCAGTCTGGATCCACCCCTGAGATAAGAACTGAACCAGTACCAGTCTGGATCTACCTCTCAGATAAGAACTGAACCAGTACCAGTCTGGATCTACCTCTCAGATAAGAACTGAACCAGTACCAGTCTGGATACACCCCTCAGATAAGAACTGAACCAGTACCAGTCTGGATCCACCCCTCAGATAAGAACTGAACCAGTACCAGTCTGGATCCACCCCTGAGATAAGAACTGAACCAGTACCAGTCTGGATCCACCCCTCAGATAAGAACTGAACCAGTACCAGTCTGGATACACCCCTCAGATAAGAACTGAACCAGTACCAGTCTGGATCCACCCATCAGATAAGAACTGAACCAGTACCAGTCTGGATCTACCTCTCAGACAAGAACTGAACCAGTACCAGTCTGGATCTACCTCTCAGATAAGAACTGAACCAGTACCAGTCTGGATCCACCCCTCAGATAAGAACTGAACCAGTACCAGTCTGGATCCACCCCTGAGATAAGAACTGAACCAGTACCAGTCTGGATCCACCCCTCAGATAAGAACTGAACCAGTACCAGTCTGGATACACCCCTCAGATAAGAACTGAACCAGTACCAGTCTGGATCCACCCATCAGATAAGAACTGAACCAGTACCAGTCTGGATACACCCCTCAGATAAGAACTGAACCAGTACCAGTCTGGATCCACCTCTCAGACAAGAACTGAACCAGTACCATTCTGGATCCACCTCTCAGACAAGAACTGAACCAGTACCAGTCTGGATCTACCTCTCAGATAAGAACTGAACCAGTACCAGTCTGGATCCACCCCTCAGATAAGAACTGAACCAGTACCAGTCTGGATACACCCCTCAGATAAGAACTGAACCATTACCAGTCTGGATCAACCTCTCTGATAAGTCCAGAACCGAATAGGGGAGGAGTCTGCAGGGAGGTCACAGTCGGTCTCATTCAATCTGGAAAACAGCAGCACATGGTCGGTTTCCCAGCCATGAGCTGTAGTCATGGCGACGAGCAGCAGTGACAGGAGGCGCCATATTTCCATCTCTTTTTTCTCTGACATCAAAGCTTCCAATATAATGTGGCTGAAAGTCAAACTTTCAAAGGGAGAAAATTAAGAAAGTTTTCCTCCTGAAACTGGAGCACCTTTGATCTGGAGAACGTCTCCCTTGGTCACACATGGCCTGTTTTTGGTCAACCTTTAGGACTTTGACTAGGCCGCTCTGAAACCTGAGGGAGGAGTCCTCCTCACGGTCCAATCAGAGACCTCCAGAACCAGCCAGCCCCACCCCCTCTGGTCGACCATGTGGACCCAAACCCAACTCTGACCAGCTCTGCACTCACAACTCATTTAACTGTTGATGAAACATGCTCACCAACCAGCCAATCAAAGGCCAGCCTTTTTCATCCAATCAAAGCCATCCATTTAAATCCTGCATCTGGATGGATGGAATCAGCCAATCACAGCCAGGAACTAAAAATCCCCTGAGACAGAGATTTGGATTTAGGAATCAAACTGTCAAAATTTTAAAGCTTTTTGATTTAACTCTTTAAACTATAAAAAAGTGTCAATGTTGTGTATTAATAGATCTATTAAAAACTCTTAAAACTCTAAAATCTTTTTAATATTTTTCCTTTTACTTCAGTTAAGAGACGTTTGATGAGGATTTTCTTTCATCTCAAGTGGAATTAAGACAAAGAACTTGGATCTGGATCAAAATATAAATATTAATAAAAACAGAGTAAAGGTTGTTGGTTAGCAACCAAAGGGAATTTTGCATCACCATGAAGGACTGCTGTGATTGGATGGAGGCTGGCCTGCAGTCACTATTCATCAGAATCTAACTGATAAACTACATTTCTTTGAATACCAAAAGTAGGACATGAGTAAAGTTTCTCTGTGGAAATCTGACAGCATCTGATCCGCTATGCTCTGAGTCATAACCACGCCGCATGTCGCCATAACTGCAGGGAACGAGTTTTCACTCGGTAGATGTCGACATGTTTTCCTCCTCATATCTGGCCCCACCCAGCAACAGCCTGACTCCTCCCCCAAATGGACGGCAGCTTAGGGAGGCGTGCCCTGAGCAAGCGGTTGGCAGCAGCTGCAGCTCCCATTGTGCTTCCGGGAGGATGGAGGAGGAAAGATCGGGGAGCAGAGTCATTTCTGGCTGAACCTCCAGAACCTCCTCCTCTCTGGGTCCATTCAGAACCAGAACCTCTTGCTCTCTGGGTCCATTCAGAACGAGAACTTCTTCTGCTTCACTCAGCTAACCAGACTAAACAGCTTCAGTATTGCTCAAAGCTGGTGAAACATCCCATAATTCATTAGTTACCATCTCAGCTGAACATGAATGGTTCTGATCCGACTGAGACTGGGACTCCCCATCAGAAACCCCAGCTGCTAGTTGACCCAGAACCCCCAAGCTGGTAGTTGACCCAGAACCCCCAGCCAGTAGTTGACCATGACAGATTGAGGCAGACTGACCCAAAACCCCCAGCCAATAGTTGACCGTGACAGACTAAGGCGGACTCATCCAGAACCCCTAAGCCGGTAGGTGACCCAGAACCCCCAGCCAATAGTTGACCGTGACAGACTAAGGCGGACTCATCCAGAACCCCTAAGCCGGTAGGTGACCCAGAACCCCCAGCCAGTAGTTGACTGACAGACTGAGGGAGACTCACCCAGAACCCCCAGCCAGTAGTTGACCGTGACAGATTAAGGCGGACTCACCCAGAACCCCCTGCCAATACTTGACCGTGACAGACTAAGGCAGACTCACCCAAAACCCCCAGCCAGTAGTTGACTGTGACAGACTAAGGCAGACTCACTCAGAACCCCCAGCCAGTAGTTGACCATGACAGACTAAGGCAGACTCACTCAGAACCCCCAGCCAGTAGTTGACCATGACAGACTAAGGCAGACTCACTCAGAACCCCCAGCCAGTAGTTGACCATGACAGACTAAGGCAGACTCACTCAGAACCCCCAGCCAGTAGTTGACTGTGACAGACTAAGGCAGACTCACCCAAAACCCCCAGCCAGTAGTTGACTGTGACAGACTGAGGCGGACTAACCCAGAACCCCCACCCAGTAGTTGACTGTGACAGACTGAGGCGGACTAACCCAGAACCCCTAAGCCGGTAGGTGACCCAGAACCCCCAGCCAGTAGTTGACTGACAGACTGAGGGAGACTCACCCAGAACCCCCAGCCAGTAGTTGACCGTGACAGATTAAGGCAGACTCACCCAGAACCCCCAGCCAGTAGTTGACCGTGACAGATTAAGGCGGACTCACTCAGAACCCCCAGCCAGTAGTTGACCATGACAGACTAAGGCAGACTCACTCAGAACCCCCAGCCAGTAGTTGACCATGACAGACTAAGGCAGACTCACTCAGAACCCCCAGCCAGTAGTTGACTGTGACAGACTAAGGCAGACTCACCCAAAACCCCCAGCCAGTAGTTGACCGTGACAGACTAAGGCAGACTCACTCAGAACCCCCAGCCAGTAGTTGACCATGACAGACTAAGGCAGACTCACTCAGAACCCCCAGCCAGTAGTTGACCATGACAGACTAAGGCAGACTCACTCAGAACCCCCAGCCAGTAGTTGACTGTGACAGACTAAGGCAGACTCACCCAAAACCCCCAGCCAGTAGTTGACTGTGACAGACTGAGGCGGACTAACCCAGAACCCCCACCCAGTAGTTGACTGTGACAGACTGAGGCGGACTAACCCAGAACCCCTAAGCCGGTAGGTGACCCAGAACCCCCAGCCAGTAGTTGACTGACAGACTGAGGGAGACTCACCCAGAACCCCCAGCCAGTAGTTGACCGTGACAGATTAAGGCGGACTCACCCAGAACCCCCTGCCAATAGTTGACCGTGACAGACTAAGGCAGACTCACTCAGAACCCCCAGCCAGTAGTTGACTGTGACAGACTAAGGCGAACTCACCCAAAACCCCCAGCCAGTAGTTGACTGTGACAGACTGAGGCGGACTAACCCAGAACCCCCAGCCAGTAGTTGACTGTGACAGACTGAGGTGGACTAACCCAGAACCCCCAAGCCGGTAGATGACCCAGAACCCCCAGCCAGTAGTTGACTGTGACAGACTGAGGCAGACTCACCCAGAACCCCCAAGCCGGTAGGTGACCCAGAACCCCCAGCCAGTAGTTGACTGTGACAGACTGAGGCAGACTCACCCAGAACCCCCAGCCAGTAGTTGACCATGACAGACTAAGGCAGACTCACCAAGAACCCCCAGCCACTAGTTGACGGTGACACACTAAGGCGGATTCCTCCAGAACCCATGGCCGGTAGTTAACCCAGAACCCCCAGTCGGTAGTTGACCTTGACAGAATGAGACAGATGCCCCCAGAACCCCCAGCCGGTAGTTGACTGTGACAAACTGAGGCAGACTCATCCAGAACCCCCGGCCAGTAGTTGACTGTGACAAACTGAGGCAGACTCATCCAGAACCCCCAGCTGCTAGTTTAACGTGACAGAATGAGGCAGACTCAATGAGAACCCCCAGCCGGTAGTTGACCCAGAACCCAAAGATGGTAGTTTGCCATGACAGAATAAGGTGGACTCACCCAGAACCCCCAGCCAAATGTTGAATGTGACCAACTGAGGCAGACTCACCCAGAACCCCCAGCCGGTAGTTGACCATGACAGACTAAGGCGGACTCACCCAGAACACCCAGCCGGTAGTTGACTGTGAAACACTGAGACTGACTCACCCAGAGCCCCAAGCCGGTAGTTGGCCCAGAACCCCCACTCGGTAGTTGACCTTGACATAATGAGGCAGACTTACCCAGAACCCCCAGCCGGTAGTTGACCGTGATGACGATGACGTTGCCATAGCTGGCCAGGATGCTGCCATCGATCATGTTGCCGGTCCCCTCCACGTAGGAGCCTCCATGGATATAAACCATGACCGGCTTCAGTCCGTTCTCATCGTGGATATCTGGAAAAAACACACAGGAGACAACAGTGACGACCCGGTTGGTTCAGGTGGTTCTAGAGGAACCCATTTGGATCACTTGGTGCAACAAGCCCTAGATATAGTGAGAGAGGGTCCCCATTTATATGTTACACCCTCAGATGCCACCAGAAAGCCAGAACCAGGAAATTATGTCATCTTCACCTCTGGAAGGAATCAGAAACTAGCCTCTATTGATCAAAGAAAAGAGAGAGGAACTTCCTTAGAAAGTAAAACCTGAGAGAAGCAGAACCTTCACCCTCACATCAAAGTGTTTATGAACAATTATGGCTCATTCCTCCTTTGATCCACATGTCTGGAACTGAACCAATTCATTCTCCATAGATCTGCCAACCAGCCAGCTTGGAAATCTCTCAAATGGAGGTCTCTACTGAGGAGAACGGTCAATTGAAAGCAGAGGAAACATTCAACACAAGGAAGCTGGACAGTAAAGATGGAGGATTCCTCCATTTCAAGTGGAAATAAACAGGATGACATCATCAGACGCTGTGGATTATTATCTATCAGACAGCAGATATCCCCAGTAGATAATCATTCATCAGAAAACTGACATCATTAGAGGATTATTGTACATTATTGATCAGACAGCGATTCAAAATGGCTGACCTGTTGAAGTCTGGACACTTTTAGCAGATTCTGAGATTTGGCATAAAGGAGAGAACCAGCAGTTACTCCTAGCAACCACCTCATCAGGTTCACCTGTCCAACCAGCCCAACCAGTCCAACCGGCACAGCCACTTCAACCAGTCTACCCACTCCAACAAACCAACCAATCCAACCGAACCAACCAGTCTGATCACCCAACCCTTCCAGCCAGTCCAACCAGTCTAATCAGTCCAACCAATCCAACCACTCCAACAGGCACAGCCACTCCAACCAGCCCAACCAAACATACCAAACCAACCACTCCAACCATCCCAATCAGTCCAACCAATCCAATCCAACCACCCCAACCAGACCAACCAGTCCAACAAATCCAACCAGCCCAACCAAACCAACGAGCCCAACCAAACATACCAAACCAACCACTCCAACCATCCAAATCAGTCCAACTAATCCAATCCAACCACCCCAACCAGACCAACCAGTCCAACAAATCCAACCAGCCCAACCAAACCAACCAGCCCAACCAAACCAACCAGCCCAACCAGTCCAACCAAACCAACCAGCCCAACCAAACCAACCAGTCAACCCAAACCAACCAGCCCAACCAGTCCAATCAATCCAACCAAACCAACCAGTCCAATCAGCTCAACCAAAATAACCAGTCCAACCAGCCCATTCAAACCAACCACTCCAACCAATCCAACGAGGCCAACAAAACCAACCAGTCCAACAAATCCAACCAGCCCAACCAAACCAACCAGTCCAGCCCAACCAACCAAACAAACCAGGCCAACAAAACTAAACAAAGCCTACCAAACCAACCAGCTCAACCAAAATAACCAGTCCAACCAATCCAACCAACCATTCTAACCATTCATCATTACTGCATCTCAAGGTGATGAAGACAACATTTGAGGTTTGTCTCTTTCCTTGGAATGGAGACAAACTAAAGAACAATAATCTGGACTTTAGGACTTCCTCCTCTCCCAGAGGTCATGTTGGATCAAGTCTGGTTTCACTGGATATACCGGATTTATCTGAACAGCATCTTTACCTGCAAAAAGAGGTTAGAACATTCAACCTTCATCACCTGAACGTTGGGTTAGTTCCACAGTTCGTCCACCAACTTTTCCCTGAGAACAGACCTAATCTATTATTGAAATCTATTGGATAGGGTCATCCCCACTAAAGCAGCACTTCTTCCACATGGTTAGCTTCTTAGAGACCAGATCTACAAACAAGCATTTGCTGTGGCCTAAAGGTTTCTCCTGATCAGGTAGCTGTTATTGGTAAGATCTCAAGAACCTCAACAAATACAGCCTAAAGTCTTCCATCTGGGAATAGAAGATTAAATCAGGTAGCATCTATGTAGGTGATGAAGATCTATGCAGGAAAAATCCCACTATCATCAGGGAGGGGCAGGGTTTATCACAACTTTATCCTCAGAATGGTTTGCTTTGATCTCTTTAATCAGCTGGACTCTTTCTGACAACATGTGGTGGGGCTAGCCTTGGCTGCTAACTAAGCTAAAGCAGCTAGCTGAGTGTATTGGAGCTAAACTCCAATCAGTTCCGGTTCTTTCCAAAAACCTGTACCTTTCAGGATGTTGAAAAGGCATTAAAAACTGGGTTTGTAACGTCTGACTGAGGGAGATCTGCTTTAAACTTTTCTATCTTTAAACCCAGAACCAGCTGATCTGAGATCAGAGCTGGAGGAAAGTGAACCAGGAGTCTGAGGTCAAAGGTTAGGATCAATGTTTGACACATTCATTCATTCGTTCATTCATTCATTCGTTCGTTCGTTCATTCATTCATTCATTCATTCATTCATTCATTCATTCATTCATTCATTCATTCATTCATTCATTCATTCATTCATTCATTCATTCATCTGTTCATTGATTTAATCATTCAATTATTTAGAAAAATAAAGAGAGGAAGGAAGGAACCAAGGAGGAAAGAAGGAAGAGAGGAAAGGAAGGAACCAAGGAAGGAAGGAACTAAAGGAAGGAACCAAGTAAGGAAGGAACCAAGGAAGGAGGGAAGAAAAGTTGAAACAAGCATGCTTAGTGTGAGGGATTGCTCAAGAGTCAATGAGTCGATGCAATCAGCTTAGATAGAAAACTTTGAATCAATCTGACTGGATGATCCGGTGAACTGGAAAGTGACCTGAGATGACATGATGTGAATGGGAGATATAGAAATAAAATGAATAGAATTTTAATTTAAAAGGTGTTCAACTATTTCTAATCTAAATCCAGACTGTGACAGACCTAACGGGTTTAGCCTGAAAACCAACGTTTGAATGACGTCTGCTGTTTGGGGGTTATGGCAATGTCAGTGGATACTGTTGTAGATCCAGATGCAGAGCTGGAGAGGCAGGAATGATTTCTGGCAAAATCTAAACTGAAGGGATGAAGAGAATCCAGCAACTAGTAACTGGGAGGAGTATATATGGCAAACAAAACAAAGAAAGGAGGGATTAACTACCTGGGAGCAAGCGTGGATAGAGGGACCTAGAAGGGAGCTAGGGAAAAGGAGACTGGCACAAGGGGGCAGCAGAGAGTAAAGGAAAAAATACAACACTCCTGAAATAAAACTAGAAAGCAACTAGAATGATACTAAATGAAAAGAAACCAATGAGCTAGAAAACACCAGAATGACAGAAATCAAAGGGAAACTGAAAAATGTAAAAGAAAACTGAAACACAGCAAAAAATGGTCCAGAAACAGACAGAACCATGACATTGTTTATACCAAGGCTCTTATTTCTGTTAAACCGGCTCTGGCCTGTCTCTGGTGGTCTCAGACCTAAAGGCCTCTGTCCAGCCCAGTCATTAATCCCTCTTTCAGTTGGTGAAGCTTAAGGCGCTAAAGGAAGCGTTAGCCTCCATGGAAGCAGCCTGCTAGCTCTGAGGCAGGAGGACAGAGTCATCCTCCTTCTCTACAAAATAAAAGCTGAGGCCAAGCAGTTCCTCAGTGAGGGGTTATTCATCTCTGCTGCTGCATTGTTAGCAGTTAGGGAGGGGGGTTGGCGGTTAGCCCATCTCCCCCGCTTAAAGACATACCTGCTAATTGCCAAGGCTCTAACAGATTGCCGTCTGATGGTCGCTGCAGGCAGAAAACTCGCCTCCAGCTTTCCATCCTGAACGCTGCTACGGTTTACGACCGACTCCTTAGATCGACAAACCCAAAACTATTCACCCCCCTGACAGATCAAGGCTTTAACAACCAGCTCCCTCTGAATGGAAGCTACAGATTAGGTCCAATGGATGTTTGGGTGCTAACCTGCGCAGCTCGGAGGATGCAGAAAGGTCCAAACCAAGGACTGACTTTTTGGAGGTCTGCGTCTTCAACCACCATGCTGATAATGATGGATGGTCCCCTACAATTAATTTTTAAACATCTGAAGTATTCTTTCTGTCCTGATTTGTGGACATTAAGATCCAAAGAGAAGCGCCATCTGCTGGTCAGACCCTGTAATTCAGTGAGAGGATTCTGCTGGGAGTTGCAGGGAAGTGGGCTGCCATTCAGGGCCGTGCGTTTGACTGGGAACGGCCATTTTGAATGGCAGAAGATAGACGCTCCTTGTTTACGACAACTTGGTGAAACAAGCTTGAGGGAATTTCACTGAAGCATCAAGAGACCGACGGCAGGCGACCCACTCAGAGACGGAGGTTCTGCCACTTAAAGGTTAAAACCATTGCTGCGTAGTTATTGGGGAATTAATTGTTCATTTGGATAAAATCACCACTTTAAATGGCGCGGCATTTAGAACGGCGGGGCTCCTGCCACCGTGAAGCGACCTGGAGCGCTAAGTGGATGAAGCCCAGGAGGAACTTTTTCTATTCCTGCACCAGAATGTGAAAAGCATCGTACTATTGGTGAGGAAGGGGAATGACTTGATCAGGAGCGATAGAAGCACAGGCCATCAACCATATGAAGTGTTCCTGATCTCCTCCACCCTGAATTATTCTCTATGGATGCTTTATGAAAGAAAACGTTATAGTCATGGTGTTTATGTCAGTTTGTAAGATCTACTTTAGACGTTTAGATAATAAGTTCAATTTAATTCAGTTCAGTTAGTTTCTATAGCGCCAGTTCACAACCCATGTCATCTCAAGGCACCAGCTCCCATGTCAAGAGGATGAAGAGAGCACATCCAGTTAGTCACAGTCAGAGAAACAGGACTACACTGGAAAACAGGCCAATCTCCAACATCTAGAAACAAAGGTGTTGATGGCAGCAGCACAGCTGATATTTCTCTCCAGGATGGAGTCACAGCCAAACAGGAACAGACCAGATGAAGCTACTATGAGAAAAAGCAGAGAGAGCAGAACGTTAGAGATTGAACTAACAG